CCACTAGCACAGACCAGGTGACAGCGGGAGCTTTGGGAATAGTTTGTTTGTGTTGAGCTCGGAAGAGTGAAATGACAAATTCTTTCAAGTCAAATATAGGACTAAAACCAAAATAAAAATAAAATACAAAACTTGATTTCCTGAAATTAGTAAAAAAAGTTTTTTTCCCTATACATTCCGATTAACCGCTTGAGTCCTAAGGGAACAGTAAATCCAATACAAGAGAGAATAAACAGTTTAATTTATTTGAGTTAATTACTTTCTATTATCTTTTATATTCTCTCTTCAATGGAAATACATTAAATATAAAAAGTAATTCTATCAAAACCATTTCAATATTTTTTCTCAATACTGACTCTTATAAAAGCGTTCACTAAAGAATTGAGACGAGAGTACCCAGTAAGGATTTATTGCATAAGCAGCTAGTATATCAAAGAATATGTTTAGTCCTTGTTAAGGGTCCATAACTGATTTTACGGAATTCATTAATGTTAAGTGTTAGGTGAAATCTGTACTGCAGTTGAGGAAAAATACTACATGCTTGAAACTAGAATTTCTCGATACTCTATTTTATTTCCACATAAAACAGAAAACTTCAAACAAACAATATTTTCGAAGTACATTTTGCGAGCAATAGATTAATTTTAGTTTATTTCTAATTACGTCATAAAAACGTTTTTTTCTCATAAAATGCGACCTATATTGAGTCCCATGCATTGGTTTTCCACTGATTCGGCCGATTCCATGCTGACCGGGGAGATCTTGAAAATGATGATTAAGTACAATCCGATGATACTCGAGAGGTTTTAAGAGCATTATAAAAATATGTTCAAAATTTTTCGAAAGATTCGTGGAGCATATCAGCCATTGTAACTGAAAATTTAATATGATATTTAGTTCAGATTTGTTCAGATGGGCAATTTCAATTTCAAAGCAATATTGGTCGGTTTTTTCGATTCAAAGGTTTAGAGAAAATTCATATCAGTATATGGAATCAAACAGTAGAGATTGGAATAGATCATAATAATACTGACGAAATTGAAATATGAAGGTGTATCAGATATGAAAATATATTGCTGCACTTACTAATCAATATTTGATCTGAGAAACTATTTGCAAGACCACTGAGCAATATTCATTAAAACATATGTTATTAAAGCTTTGACGTGAAATCACCCAACAGACGATACTATGACCAGAAGAGTCCTATTGTACCAAATTAAAACATCTAAATGAATGGTGTTGCCATAAACAACATCAGATAACATACTTCAATATTCAATATATTTAGTAGCAGCAAAATCCTTACATCCTTTATAGTCTATTATTTATCTTCGTGCTCCGCACGGTCAGCATTTCTCCGCAACGTATTCTTTATAAATTGTTCTGTAAGAGTTAAGCCATGGTATCATCAACCTTAAGACTGTGAATACAATTTCCCATAAGTACATTTTAAGTCATAAGTTTGTTACTTTTTGATTTACATGATTTTCTGATTGGTTGTATTTTTTAATTTAAGATCATTTAGTCTATCACTTCCTCTGCAAACTCTTTTAAAAGCATCTCCAAGAGCATAACGTTTTCATCTGACGCATTGGTTACTTATACAATCCATATTTAGCCGTAATGGAAATATTGTTTAAACATAGTATCTGCTTATAAGGAATATGATACTGTATTGATGCCTCCTCTGCTACTTTGTGCTCTATTATGGAAATATGTTTCACTACCATGGAATTATTATCTTAAACTTTGTATCTGAATATGATGGAATCATCTGATACTCATTATTCCTTTATCTCATTGTTTCCAAAGTATTGTTTCCGTTGGTAATGGATGATGGCTCTTCAACTATATTATTTGCGTTCTTTGTTTTGTCTCTAAATGCTTTATACACATTGTAATCACTTGAATATACCGGAAAAATAGGTTATTATTGGGATTCCCTCTGTGTCAATCGCTTTTTTTAGTTGGTAGCATTTAAATTTGCTTCCAATACAACATTTTTTCTTTCATCGAATTTTGCACTCAGTCTTCTCTTATACTTGAGTATCGTTTATACCTTTTAATTGTAGACCTCTAAGAAATTAGTATGCTGCATCTATGTGAAAATAATCCATTATCTTGTTGGCCTTAATTTCATTCCCACCTTCCTCATACTCCTGCATTTAATTTTATTTTTATTTTTGTTTTTATTATTTATTTTATTTAATATAATTCAATTTAATCAAGTTAAAAAATACAGACTCACATTTAGTGTTTCTATTGATCAGTAATTAATTTTACTTAATCATTCTTATTTATATTTTCTAAAAAAAATATAATTTTTGAATAAATTGAAAACTTGTGCAAACAAAATTAAGGAAATCACATCTGCCGCTTGTGCCTAATTTTGCTCTTATTGAGCGCTGTTTTTTTTGGGAAAACCAACTACATTTGGAGGCAAACGTAAATTGAATCTTTAGAATTTTTGGATACAATGCCCCATGCAAACTCATTATAATGCCTCCTATCATGTTTTTTATTTTCATACTCTCCATTCAACATTTACACGCCGGTACTCCTATTATTTCCGTCATATGTTATTATCTCCCCGGGAATTCCGAACTCTGCTTTGTCGCAAAGCCTCAAAATATTGTAAATACATTCTTATTAAATATGTGAACTCGTACATTTTTTATATTTGTATAATAATTTTCTTTAGATTTAATATCAAAAGAATCTGTTTGCGAATGGCGACATGCATGAAATTCCAAACCACGTCCTCAAATTGATATGGCAACGCTGTGCCATGAATTCCTGAATTCCTGAATTCCTGAATATCTCAATTTCTGAATTTCTGAATTTCTGAATTTCTGAATTTCTATCAACCAAATCGAATCGTTTCAGTATCAATGTGACTCAAATTGAGGCGAGGCGAGGCGAGGAGAGGAGAGGCGAGGCATTGAATTGAATTACAAATGATGAAATTGTATTCTAATAATTGAAATTTTGCGTATGCATACTATATGCCAAATTATCTTAAACAAATAGATATGTTATGTATATATGTATACTCGTATATAAATGAACACATGTATGTAGTATGTTTATAATAATATTTTGGATGTTAATGCTGCATTGTTGTTAGCGAACACGTATAAAAATTAATAAAACATTGCAGCTCTTTACTTGAATACAGAAATGAATATTAATAATCCTTTTAGGCTGCCTGCCATCCTGTCTGTCGACTAATGCCGATTCATGTGCTGTGCGGGAAACGACACAACTGAAGCTTACGTCTAATGCGGAATTAGTGGATCCGTAATCCCTGCACTTAAAGCCACATTCGACATATAATAAGTTTTGCAATATATTTGACTATTAAGCAATTGGAGGATTTTTGCATAAAGGACAATTGGAGTGGAATTGCATGACATTTTCAATTGAGTTAATCCGATCGTTATATTATACAATGTATAATTACAACTCTTATTATTAAGTGGAAGCTATTTTCGCATTTTAGGAACAGATTATCGTTATGTAAATAAATTCTGAGAGGAGGAAATATTTGAGCTTGAGAACGGGTTCAATCCAAGTACAGTTGTCTTAAATCAGGACCCTGTTCATTTAGAAACATACAGTTTTTCATACTTAAGCTACTGATATATTAAATTTGATGCTAATAAATAATGAAATAAATAAGAAATAAATAAGAAATATATTGAAAGAAGTAAGGGAGGAAATAGCTTTACAAACTGGTGCACTGAAATTATGCCTAAGATGATAATGAGGAAGTTATGCATTGGAGTATATAGTACTAATGGGAATATTGTTAATATATTCTATTCAATACTTATTAATAAATTTATTATTTTTATTAAAAAAAATTTATTTCAAAATTATGAAAAGTTTTTTAATGAATCAGGAATTTGTGCCAATCTGGTTTCAAAGTGCAGGTGAGCATAATGTCGTTAAATTAAATACTCATTTTCATTTATATACATATAATAAAAATACTACATCACCAAACGAGTTAACAACTGTTTTACAACGATAAAAAGTATGTAAACCCGTATATATGTATTATACGTATATCTAGTACAGCGCTTATTTGCTTTCTCCAGCTTTTAAGAATTGCATGGACACTATAGCGATATCATAGCTCTTCGAAATTTATACAATTAAATTGCCAATTATTTTTACAAATGAAGGATCTGTTAGCATAATAGATTTTTTTAGATTATGTCACAGGTGGCAGTTAAAGTATTCTGATTTGTCTATGGAATCGATTAATGAGAAATAAAAAGGAAAGATCGAAGTTCGAAAGTAAAAAAAATGGAAGTTTCTTCTCTATAATGTAAAATAGTTTTGGTTAGAGCAAACAATCCGATATTAAGCAATAAAAAGCAAACTATATAAGATTAAATCCAATTTTTATCCAATATAATATTTTATTGGCAAAAAAAAATAACCGTTAATTAAAAAAATTCTACATTTAGAATCGAAAAATATCGGGAATTAATGACTCATTACTTTTTTATATATTGAAAACTAAGACTAGGAACACAAATCTTGTTTATATCAACTCACACCTATTGGTTTTGTAAGTGTCTGCAACCAGCATGAAACCAGCTGACATATCAAGAATGAGAGATAATGACTGTGTTATTTTGACAAATAAGTCTCTGTTAAGAAATGTTACTCTTCACACGCTGTTCCTAGAATTCTTCAAGACGAGGCACTTATTTTACGTTGACTCACATGTGTTAATTTGTACTGAAGTAGTTGAAATATATATCTGACTAAACCATTTGATTCAGCGTCCATTAGTATCATTTACCATCTACAGAAGATTAGCTTATTTATAAACACATAATTTATACGACAACTGAGATTTTATACAGATCAAGAGAATGACTTCGAATAAAATGATTAAAAACAAGATACTTGAACAAAGATATTAACGTTTAAGTATATTTAACAAAAATACAATTTAAGTACAAATGTACTTACTGACACCAAGAAAAAAAATTAACATAGTAGTGACTATTAAATAGAATATATATGTCTAAAAAATTAAACACACAGCAACCAATTATATGTTGTGAGATCACAAAAGTAGAAACGGTTGTAAAATTATGGATATGAGGAGTTTATAATGTCGGTTTTTTTTCGAATTGGTGTTAGGAATAGAAGATTTCTACTTATAACCCAGTAAGAAACGCAGACGTCTAACTTTCTCTGTTTCTTACTTACCAGAAACTAAGTAAGTCTATTTTCGATGGACATCCTAAGAAAAGAATTATAAAAAAAAAATTCGATTTAAATTTGCATATACTAAAAACTCCATTTCATTACTTACGTTTATAAATTATAATTGAGAAAACCATAATTTACTTTTTCTTTCGTCTTTTCTTCATTGGTTTCATGTAATGATTGCGCTTATAATATTTCCTTTTCTTCGCATTCTTTTTTGGCCTATAAATTTTCACATTCTGTTTTTTCTTATTTTTTTGGACAAAATAATTGCTAGATTCCGTTTCAGAGAATCCCCATAAATATTCTTCTTCACCTTCTTCTTCCTGCTCTTCGAGAGGTTCAAATTCCACTTTTACTTCTTCCATGTAAACTTCTTCCTCTTCCTCTACCTCTACCTCTCCCTCTTCCTCATCATCTTCCTCTTCCTCCTCCTTTTCTTCCTCGTGTTCTTCACCAGCCCATTCATCTTCCTCGTTCCCATCATCACTTGGCATGTCTTTTTTCAACTTCTATTTAACAAAAGTTTTATTTATAAATAACATTATGTACTGAATATTATATTAAATTAAGGACCTACATGACATCTCGAACAGTATGCCATTTCGAAAAATATCCAGTTACTGAGAAGGGTCGTTTAGAATGAAACTGTAAGTACAAATTTTTAATATTAATTTTGCGCTGAAGGGAACCTACATTGCTTATTTTGGAATGAATTGGAGTAGTCTCAACCTTTATTTAATTTTGATTTTCTGATTTATATTTTATAATCTATTTTATAGTCACGTCATCAGTAATTTCAATGCTAAAAACATTCAAGGAACTTTTTAAAGGCTTTTCATACTCTGTCGGTGATCGATGAATTTTTATGGAATCAGATTTATTTAATCTGGAACAGACTGTATAGGCCCTGGATACATTTTCAAGATTCTATTTATCATTGCAGTGAAAATAATTTTTTAAATTTTTAAATAATTAATTTAATAAATTTTTTACTATAAGTGAATCTAAGAGAAATGGGTGCAATTTATATTAAAAAATGACAATAGATTATACATACCTTGTACTTCACCTGTACAGAAGAAAAGAATATCAAATATCAATTACAAGATCTAGATAAGGATCACCAAATAGTGGTTATCAGTAATGGATTGTCAAAGATATTTAGACAGGTTTACACAAAATTTAAGATATATATGGACATCTGGAAGAAATCACCTTCCTCAAAGTTCAGTCTAATCCTAGATGATGAGTAACTTGTACAAACGGACGTTAAAGAAAATTCCAGTAATAAACAAGTTAAAAAAATAAAAACAGGCATTATAAGGAATTCATCAACTATTTCGGATAGGTTTTTTCTAATCTCGTAATCATCAGTACTATAGAATAATATTATAATAGAATAGAATAATCTCGTAACCATCAGTACTTGAAATGATGATTTCAACTTTTCCAAGATCCACACATTTTAAGGAATAATTTGTTAATAATTATTTATATAACCAATTATTACTTTCTAAGGATTTTGAAAGTAACTACAATATGTTCCTATAAATCTATTATAATTATTTCAATTAACCATTTCGGTATACTTGCACGTTAAGGACTTACCTTAATATAATCAGAATTGTCAATCTGATTGATATATTTTGAAATATATAACCTTAACTAAAATTTTGACACAAAACAAAACTTGCATAATCTCAAAAAATGTTCAGTGAAATTGGAACACACTCCTCATAATAAAATATAATATAAATTATATATTTTTATTTTACCTTAAAACAATCACATTTCAAAAATCAATGGCAAATGGTTTATTTCTATTTAAAAAAATAGATTCATGTCTGCATACTACAAAAAATGTTTCATTTTTATAGATTTTCACTACCGATTTATAGATTTGTATTCAGTATTGTTTGCCAAATACCCACGAAAAGTACACTGATTTACAGGGCACAGATTTGAATCTATTTGACGTACTTTTCGCATATTTCGTATAACTTATGGGCAACATTATCAATCTTTAGACCATGTGCTACAACAATAATCCATATGAGGGCTCAACAATGAAATGAGGGCATAGGTGATGCCGGACTTCAGCGAAACAGTCTGCCATTGGTATCTAGTATGCTATGTAACGTATTCCTCGAAAGTAATCATAGCCACACAAAGACCGTAATATTTATAAACTTTGATTTGTGTATTGACTAAAATCGTACAAGTACAATCTTCACCCTCACATTGCTACGGTCTCTTCATGCACTTGTTTTTTTGCCACCACTAACGAATACCGTATTCTTATGAAGTCGTTGCAGTACGTGCAAAATCCAATGACCGTAATATATTACGATCTTTATAAAGACATTTCGTTTGCGGCCATAACTTCTTGGCCGCGTAAAATGAATGATTCTCACAACATTTTCGCATTTTCGCGTACCGTTTCTAAATGAATGCTTTATTTAAATAAAAAGAACACGAAGGGAAACAATTAAGCTAATATTTGGCATATTTCAATTTTACAATATGTAAAAATGAAGGCTACACACTCTACTATGTACATTAATGAGTTCATAAAAGCTAAGTTCTCATAACAGTTACACAATAACGTTGTTATGGTTACTTTCCACAAAATAATGGATATTACTGTTATGTACTTTTATTGTATTTTTATTGTTAAAAAGGCTTATGGATCAAAAAAATATAAAAAATATTAAAAAAAATAAAGTCAAGTACGGCTTGGGATCAGTTGGCTTAGGTGCGATGATTCTGAGCTTCACATTTGGCAGGACCCAAGTCGATTCCTGGTACTTGCAGTCGCAAAAATAATTATTAATACGAATAATTAAATAAAAGAATTATTTCCAAGACCACTGATGATACGTCACCACTGTTCGCAAAAACCTCTTTAAAAAATAATTAAAAAATATTGCGTTTTATGTTTTGTGTCAAATTTCAATCAATTGGTTTGTGTCTATAATAAGCTAACACAGAACATAATATTTGTAGAAGAGACCGTAATATTACGGTCAGTCAATGAGAAAGCTGTTAGTGAAAGAGCTTTCTCAAATATTGCAAGAATACAAAAACTTCCCAATTAAGTCGTCAGGAAGTAATTGACTGCTTTTGAGAATGTCATTCCTTTATGTAGTCACTCCACGTCTGATTCACTCAATAGCGTCTTAATTGTTGCATATTAACCTGAACATTTTCCAATCCTGGAATATTTTGGAATATAGTAAAATCCAATCCAACCAGATATACTCATATGACCATCTAAAAGGTTTTGCGGCACACAGTAGTTTACTACGCATGTATACTTGTACGAGGGTCACTGTTTATGTTTTTAGCCTTGGCAACACTGATTGTGATTAGGTGTCATTTGACGTATCCATATGAACGTTTGACATTATTAAATACAACCTACCTTAGACTTTTTGTCAAAAGTCCGTTATATGTGGTATTTACAATGATTTATAATTTGAGTGTTCGCGAAAAAATGAAATTAACACGATAAAATTTTCGTTCGATGATTTTTTACGACTTTCCACTTGGATCAACTTACTGCCACATTTGGCTTCATCCGATGAAGCTCCATCCTTTGCCACTGTGAAGCCCTGGTACAATGATTTTAATCTTGGCCAGAGTTCGCTCACTGACCTCACTGGAATTCTTGAAGGTCCTCCAAAATCAGTTGTCAGTTGTTGTGCCTGGAAACATTGATGCTGTGCAAAAACTGACACGTGCAATGCAAGATCGTCATGCAACATACTGTGAGATTGAGGCTGGTGGAACCCTAGGCATTATTTTCACCTGCATATACGAGTATAACATATTGCACGTGAACAAGGTTTGTTCGCGTTTAATCCTCTATCATTTGACAGAATCTCAAAAAGATGCTCGTGTCGTGCTCAATTGGTACATACAAATACTCAAGAAGTACAATCGCGGTGTTTCAAAAGATGTATACGAATATAAGATTGTAACAGGTGACAAATGGATATATGCGTAAGAGCCGAAACATAAACAGCAGTCGACTGTATGGGTGTGTTTGGTTTCAAGATGAACCAAATCCAACAAAAGTTGTTCGCGCTCGTAGCCGTTCGAAACAAATGGTAACTTGATTTTTAGAGAAAACTGGTCACGTGACAAGTATACCATTACAAGAACGCAAGACTGTCAATTCGGATTAGTATAAAAGCATTTGTTCACCGGAAAACTTTATGGAACTACGAAAAATAAACAAACGTCGTCGGATCATTATCCATCTCCATCAAGACAATGTGAGTGCACACGCATCACGTCTAATAACGAGACAACATTTTGAACATCTAAAAACTCGAATAGAGGGGTCATCAGCCGTACAGTTATGATTTGGCATCCCATGACTTCATTTTGTTCCCGAACGTCAAGAATAAATTGCGTGGACAACGATTTTTGTCGACAGAAGCGAACGAAGCCGTTGTTGCACTTAAAAGCCATGTTTTGGAGGTATCTGAAAAAGTTTGGAAGAAATGCTTCGACAAATGGTTCTAACGCATGCAAAAGTGTATTAATCATAAAGGAGAATATATTGAGAAACAATAACATAAATAATAACATCTTAACATAACAGCTTAAAATAAAAATAGGGGTCATCGTAGCTATTCAGGAGGCGCAACGTGAAGGCTGTGTCATTTTGAAATAATTTTTTATTAATTTTTCAGCGATTCGACACCCAATAGCTAGCCTTAATCCGGCCACCTTATGACTTCCAAATAATTGTAGTTGACTTTTATTGAAGTTACTTTGCCAAATCTCATGTTGTGATAGTCAAACTAGATATATGAAGAATTAACCTCTCGAATTGTTTTAGTTTATGTATTTTTCTTTGCAAAAACAAAATAAAATGAATTTCATTTAAGAAATATTAAACACGTATAATTTTATTATAAATCATGTAGTCTACAAAATAACGATGTATGAGCAATAATAATAGAATATTTATTGCTACGCTGATGAATGATAATAACATCACTATTCTAGAATAAAAAATATTCAAATTATATATATTAATTATATATCTTAGCACAATAGATTTTTTTTAGGACGCAGTGTACTACCCCTTTTTTTAATAATCATATAGCTTGCCATTGTTCCTGCAGAGATGTGAAAAAATGAGACCCAATTCCGCTTCATATTCATTACATCTATTGCCAATTTCATCAGATTCGTAAATTTTGTGATCTATCATGTTAGTGTAGTCATAGTTGCAAGTCAGATAGTATTGATACCTGGAAATATTCGAAAGTTTTCGAAATTAACAACGAATATATATATGTTAATGTACATGTATATATGTATATATAAATAAGTACAAAATAGTTCTTACGGAAATTTGTCATCTGTGCAATAAGCAACGTTACAGCCAAGGCGAGAAACCTTTTCATTGACCATTACACTGAAATGTCCAAACTCATGCATGCTAAGTATAAAGAAATATGGGGAAATTATTTATTCATACGTTTAAGAGTTCAATTTATATTTCATATTGTGTACATCAATACTGATAATAACCTATAAATTTTTTTTCTGCCCCATTTCTACGACTTTTATGCTGCATAATCTCATCCAGAAACCTTTCTATGTTTAGTTTTTCTCTTAATTGATTCTATAAAACTTGATAGTTCCCTAACACTCTCTATCAATATGTTGCAATATATTAACAGGGGGAACGAAAAAAGTATTCATCATTTTTCTATTTGTTTTATTTCCCACGCTCAATCATGCAACAAATTATTATTCTTTAATAATCCAGACACAACATTTCATAGATCTTTCTTGTTTATTTATATATACATGATAATAAGATACAATAAATATGTTACAGTATATGAACGGCAGGTTATTACGATATTAGTAACAATAATAATCGATCGACAATCCAAACATTTCAGCAATCCAAACAACCCTTGAAACATAATTATCCGAATTGTCGAGAACATATTGTAAATCCATTTATTTTTTGATTGGTTCAGTTAACATACATTTGTCCGACATACTACAAATTAATGAAACCCTACAAAATTGGGATATATAATTGAATTGATTACACACTGGTGCGAAGTTAAGAAGGGGATTAAAAAGCTAAAAAATCGTAAATCGAGGACAATATTCAACCCGAATTAATAAAATATGGCGCAATTGTGTTTTCCCAGTCAAAAGACCCATTATTTCGATGGATATTGCGTAGTAATGGAAAAACGGAAAGCCAGAATAATAGTTTCCATTCCAAAAAAAAGACAAATAAAGTCACTGCCGCAACTGGCGTGGAGTTAAATTGTTAAACACACTGCAGATAATCTTGGCCTTCGATATTTTGAACCGCATAGCAACAAACCCGGATTTGACCGTGACGTCCATGTGTCGGCCACATACATACGCTCCGAATAATGTTGGGGCACTCTATAGAGTGACAAAATCCACTTACTCTTTGTCGAGCTTTACCTGGAAATGTTTAATAAGATGCAGCATCCCTTTGAAGATAATAGACCATATCAAAAACTAATCCAAAAACTCCTGTAACAGTGCACGTTTAAAGGGAAAACAGAGCCAGAAGTTCAAAATTTACACAGATGTAAGACAAGAATATGTGTTATCCCCGCTCCTTTTCATTACTGTATTCGACGTTTCAAGGATGCTAATCTACAAACTGAAGGGCTTGTGATCTCGATCTCGATCTCAGATCAGATCGTCATCTAAGAGAAAATACTTTATTTAACCACTAGATTATCTTTTGGTAAATTTTTTATGGTGTCATTATAATTAACATCAAAGGAGTAAACGTTGTATTTTTTTTCGAACACATGTCAAAGATCCATAAAATAAGATCGATTTCTTAGTTCGCTTTCCTTTCTCATATATTTATAACATGTTTAATATTGTTGTGATATCTGCCATGCAAATCTCTGAATCACAAGAAAATTCATGTCCTCTTATCGTAGTTTTTCTGATCGAGTGGTATCGGAGTCGAATTGTTGCGATATAACGAGTGGGAAGTCGTTACACTACACTTCCAATATTAGATTTGGAATATTAGGTTGAATAAAACACATTTTAATATTGTACAATTAAAAAGCGTATATTATGTTTACGTGACTTTTGAAGAAACTCATTTTCCACAAATAACTAATCTAATCTAAATCTTATTACCCTAACACTTCCATAAACTGTATTACGTACTTCACCTTTCTAATCCCCTCGATATTAATTTGACATACCTATATAACAAAATTAATTTACACGTTATTTTGTCTAATTGTTGTACTTTATCTTATTATTTCTACTTTTACTAGTTCTGATTACTTTCAATTCCTTACTCATTTCATTTGTCCTACCTTAAGTAATAAACTTTAGTTTCACTTCTCTTATTTCTTCATTGTTTATCCTCCAATCATTGCTAACCTTCTTCAAATTCTATTAACTTATTAACTATTAACTTATTATTTACTTAAATTGAAATTTTTTTACAAGTAATAATGAGTAAAGAAATAAGGAGTAACTTACTCTGGCGTATATTTTACATTAAAGTTTTCCTTGTCCGTCACCAATGCATTTTCATCAAACCAACTATCGCAGCCTTGAGTTATGACTTCCGATATTGTCATTCTATTTGAAGAGGCACAATATGCTAAGTTTTGTCCGGAATATTTGAAACGCTGAGTGTTATGACATCTGTCATGTTGGATCATGCACTGCCGAGTATGAATGGTGGCGATATATGCTAATTCATCATCCCATATTAAGTCTCGCATGCGCGACGCTGCCGGAAATCCAACTAAACCACTGGCGATTTTATTACGAGCAGTATTGTGACAGAAGAGGAGCTGGTCACGTATCAATCTTGTTAAAGGTGGGTTACTCACAAACTTACCTTTTCTTCCCTAAATAAAATATTTAAAAGTTATAAACTTTATAACAAAATTAATGCAGAGTACAACCTAAAATGTTAGAATTATCATAAAAAATGCTATAAGTAACAAATATTCTAAAGGTTAGTCTGTAGAGACCGCTCATTACTCTATATTTGCACAAGTTGACAAATCTATTGCGTTTAAGGTATATACACTTGCTGCTTTGCTGGATATCGATGGCAAATCCTTCTAAAATCAAATCCTATATGCAACTTTTAAAATTTGTTTTGTCAATTTGTTCTGGCTCTGGCTATATGCGATGGAAAATCTCGCGCAAAAACTAAGATTGCTTTAAGTTATATTTTCAAAAATTTCAAAAGAATAGGATCATTACTGTAAATATGACAGGAACGAAATTGCTGAGAATATATATTATATATTCTTTGAATGTGGAAGATACAACACAGTGCTTGAGCGATGTGTTTGAAGAGATCTTCACAACTGATACCTTGTAGAGTATATTATAAGTTAGAAAAACAAATATGTGTTGGGCAGTAATAGAGCATTCAAAGTCAGACTCTACCACATAAAAACACCGAAAGGCATAGTCCATGAATAGAGGTGTTTGCTGTTTCGATAGAGAAAATTTTCCCAGGAGCGCTAACAAAATAATCTGTTGAATTCAGTCTTGGGGTTAACCAACCAAACAAAGAGTTCTGTTCTTCACTAAAAAGTATAAAATTCCTACATTTTCTTTACCTAGAAATAATGTTACGCCACTTAGAGCACGAGAGTCAACTGGGTCTTATTTCTGCCTCTAAACTCAGCAGGAAGATAAATTTGTCCGAAGCAATTTATGATACTAACTGTTAAAGTGAAGTTGGTTTTAGAAGATGTCTTTAAGCTTGAATTATTTTCTGGTTTTACACACCCGTCATTAAACTAATCTAGAAACATAATTAACTTTAAGCTACACATGTAATCGGAGGTTATTCCTCCATACAAATTACTGAAGCTTTAAGTTGTACCATTGCTTTCATGTACCTTCATTGTTTGTCGTCAAGACTTCTAATGAAACAAGCTTAATTAGCGACGCTCAGACGAAGCGTTCTTGTCTACTGGTCCAGAACCGACATAGAACATCCAAATTAACTGAATAATGATATGCAAAACATTGCACAGGAGTTTGGTTCTTTTATTGTTGATATCTACACTGTCAACCAAAACAAGCAGAGGTCGCAGTGCCATATTTTTTAAGAAATAAAATCTTGCCATCTTGCTTCCATTATAATTTCCGTATAAATTTTTATGGACAGCCAAGCTGCAATCAAGTTTCTGATAAGCACTACGATTACATCTCTAATAGAATATAGGGCGACTACAAAGTATGCTAGCAAACCAAAACATGCCGCTCGCCGAAACTTATCTGTTTTAAATAAATACTTAAATAAATACCTGTGGACTTATTTGGTCTAAATTGAACAAGAAGCGCACGGGTCCACTGCTTCAAACGAAGCTAAACCTACTGTTGTGGGGATATTTACTGCGCGACGTTCTTCACAAGTAGAAACATGGCGAGTGGTCATTTTGAGGTTGAGACCAGACAACCTCAAGACAAAATTGACGGCCACAACAATAAAGCAAACTAACGAGGGAACAAGTTTTCAATTGACGAACTTTGCTGACTCATCGGTCATCGACTTCTGTGAATTCAAAATTCGTAACAATACTGCCGTTAGATAATATTACTTTTGGTCCGTACACAGAGGTGAAAAATTTTTCAACTTACGATTTGATCCGGATCACACATGAAATGAGTAACATTTCCTTTACATAGTTTCTTAGCGTCTTCTCCCTCACAGTAATTGTAGCCATGGACATAACGAAATATTGCAACTATAGCAAAAAATCCGAAAAGTAGTTCAATGTGGGATGCCATTATAATTGGCAAAAAATTCTAACAGTTATTTAAATTTAATAAAATTTATATTTTTGATTCTATAAATAATTTTAATTATTCCAAATTTGAACTTTTTACTAAGCTTGCTTAACCATTTGTTTGCTTAATGCAAGCACACAACATATGCAGAGCACCTCACCCTCCAAAGTATATAAGTATAAACTGCGACATAAGACAAAAAATAGTTTGAAAAGAAAAATCTACTGATAAGTCAATATCGGTGATTGATTTCATCGCAATGGATAGGACTTGGGTCTACTCCCGTAACTCTGAATGAAAAAAAAAATAAGAGATTGAACAAAACCAAAGATGTTAGAGATTTTGTGGGAGATATTCTGCAGGCCTTTCGGAAGACCACTATAAAGATGGGATACAGAAATTAAAGGATCAATGTTCACTGTAATGGGTTCAATACAAACTGGAAAAATTGGATTGAAAAAGCCTAGTTCTAATAATAATATAGCGAGAGTTCCAAAGTACACAGGAGTACACAAGAGTTTCTGTCGCAGTACTCGTATTGGGAAAAGGATTAGGGAGAACATAAAAACAAATAAAAACGAAGTAGGAATAGATAGTATTAAATGCATATATACAAACACATAAAAAATGAAAATATAAAATAAATATCATTGTGATTAATTATCATATAAAAAGGTCGTTTTATAATAATAATGACAATAGCGATAAAAAGGAATGTGGTTAAAATGTGATGAATAAGTTTGTTGAGGAAAATCTTAAAGGAAGTGTTCTGTAGAGATGAAAGAACACAAAAAAGATTTATAAAACACAGATAAAGTTAAATTTAAAAGAAAAACACCTACTTTTGCTAACTCAACCAGGCCAGCATAAAACGATCTGTGGTTCATCAATAATATTTAAATGGATGGGATCTCTGGCTCATTTGGAAAGAAAGAAAAAAAGAAGAACGCTTCTCATCCATAGTTGTATTAAAGTAAATTAATAGGCCACAGTTTCCTTTTAATATTATCGCTATACACTACTGTTATAAGTTGCCAATAAAATATATAATTAGCAAATAAAGTATAACGCTATAGATCTTCTATCTTCTAGACGTAAGAAGCGACTGATAGATTCCAATTTTTCTTAATCATGGCAACTTCTACATAGTTCGTTGGTACACGCCACATCACAGTGCTCTCTTAGTACTGTAGTACGTTAGTAGTTACGGCAGGATTGTGGAAACTGAAAAACTCTTTGCCATATGCATATGTATGGTATATAGAGTGTTTGGGTATATCAAAACAAATGGCATATATGTTAAACATGTTTTTTTGTTCCAAAAACCGAAACAAAATGTGTACGGTGAAAAAGTATTTTCATTATTAATTTAGATATAGTGTATCAAAAGTTAGTTTTTGATAGTTTTTGAGTTTTAGCAAAAAAAAGATATGATATAATAAAGTTTATTGTAGAGGTCAATTATAGTACTAAAGTAAGCCGGTCTACAATTATGTCTCCTATTGATGCTTGCATGACAATCGGATTTGGTAGCTATTTGTGCTATATTTGAATTAATCATCATGTGAAATTTGTTCTCTTCTTTACAAAGCCAAATAAATCACCAAATAACCACCATTGTCTTAATTATTATCTCAATTAGTTGTGAATACCTATTATGGCAGAATGATTCATCTGCCTGAATAAAGTAAGGATCTTTTGTTCTCGTCAGGCAAGTACAACCATTGCTATGTAAATTGTCAATTGTTATTTATATGCAACACATTACTTGAAATTTTTTTTTAAACATATAAATTATATTATAATATATTGTTAGTTTTTAATATTTTATTAAGCCAGAATGTACTTCTACGTCTAATTATATCCACACCCACTTTACATATCAATAGTTGTACCATGTGTATCCGCACCCAGCTCCTTTCATTGTAACTTCTTCTTCTCATTTCACACGTCGTAATAAATTGTTTCCTTTACTTTTTGTTTAATTCATTTATTTTTCATTCCTTTTATTTCTCTATCATATGGTTTCCTTTTCCTTATATTATTTTGATTTCTTTTCTTATCATGCGGTTTCTTTTCCTTTATCTTCTCTTTTATTTTCTTATTCTTACACTAGTTCATTTTCTTTTTTTCTTTTTCCCTTATTTTCTTTTATTTTCGTTTCCTTCCCTTCTTTTCTCTTTGTCTCCTTTTTTTCCTTTTTTTCCTTTCTTCCCTTTCTTTATCTTTTCTTTCATCTTGTCTTTCGTTTTCCTTTTATATTTTCTTTACTTATTTTTTTCTGATTTTTTTCATATTCTTTGCTTTCCCTCACTTCTCTTTTCTCGCTTCTCTTGTCTCTCTACTTTTTTCTTTCATGTTCTTTTTTTTCTTTTCTTTATTTATTTTATTTTATTTTATTTTATTTTATTTTGTTTTCTTCTCCTTTCGTTCCTTTTCAGTTCCACTTCTCTTTCTATCTCTTCTTTTATTTTCCTTTCATTTTTTCTTTTCTTTTATTTTTTTCTTTGAACTTTCTTCATCCTCTTATGTTTTTTTTAATTATTTTTCCTGCGTTTTTTTCTATTCTTTTCTTCTCTTTATTTGAATTTTGTTCCTCTTCTATTCCTCTTTATTCTTCAGTCTTTAATATTACCTTTTTTCTTTGATATGCCAGTTGAATCCTTTCCAACCGCTATTTTGTTTTTATATAAGGACTGTAAAGTTATGCATTTAAGTGAGGACAATGGTGCTCTAGTATATGACGACAGGTTGGTACACATTTACTGTGATCGTTTAGATTATTTTCCACGATAAGACAAGCCGTTTTATTAATTGTTGTGTTGTATTCAGACCGATATTTAGGCCTAAAAGGTTCATTTCTAACCTTGTTGACTCTTTGATATTTATAACCACCACAGTACTCGAAGTTACGAATTGGCTTAGGTCGTAAAATAGGACAATATTCCTTAGGTATTGGTGCACATTTATCTATTATATCCATAACCCGTTTACGTAAATTTTGGCAAGCAATTTCTACACTCTCATCCTTGTCTTCGTCGGGCAGTTCAATTTTGTGATCGAAATCGATTTGATAAGTTGTATAAGGGCCGTAAAAGTGCTTAGTCTTATAGAACTTATCTGGTGGCAATCCTTTCAATTTTTCATACAAATATGGATAAAAAGTTCGCAAGACTCGAATGAACTCAAATGGATTTTGAGCCAGACACTCCTGCGCAATATCAGGTTCTATTTTAACCTTTTTCTTTCGGCGTGGCGGTGGTGGAGGCACAATACATTTATTAATGAGCCCACCCATTGGTGATATGCCAGTCCATTCAGACTCTTTGAAGTCTGAACACTTTCTTTGAATTGGTGGTGGACATTCAGGCAATGGAGGTGGCGCTACATGTTTCTCAAGTCTCCTAAGCCTTTCCCAAAATACACTTGGTGGGATATAATCACGCTGATAAGTTGATTCGACGTTTCCAGCCATTTTGTATAACTGATAATTTTGCTAAGTTTACAGAAAAAATCTTACTAAAAATTCACAAAATAATTTTGAAGAATAAAAATTCATGAACTAAAAAATATAATTTCAAGTTCATTATGTAAAAGTTTGATTTGATTTTTTTTGGTTATGTGATTTAATGGATAAAACTAAATATAAACAAGTTTTTAAATAGGGAAATGTAGCCTAAACTTTTAGGTATGATATACTCGTATAATATATACACGTATAAATATGCGCATAAATATAATATATACATTATATATATTGTATATAAAGAAAATACCGTTCTGTACCTAGGACCTACTCTTAATACCGTCCAGCAAGCGATTGAAAAAACGCCAGCAGACATTAATTGAATGTTCAATCAACTGCTTGGATATCTCGAGTATGCTGATGACATGGTAATAGACACGCAAGTTTTGCAGAGTAGGACTTAATATAAATTCTTCGAAAACTAAATCCATGAGAGTCAAGGCAAATAACATATTAAATTTCTCGTTAAATGGCCAAGATATTGAAGATGTTCAGCAGTTGGAATTTTTGGGTGAATGGCAAGCAGTGATGATGGAACTGTGATCGACGTAAAGGGTTGTGTAAAGAAATGCAAAGTAACGTGGATTTCAAGACTAAGGTCAGAAACTTCAATGCATGTGTAAAATTTACTTTGCTATAGGGCTGAGATACGTGGTCGTTAACTAGATCGTCGTGTCATAAACTTCCAATTTTTATCCAAACCAATAAATGAATGAGATTTTATTAGATTATTAAATATTTTTAACAACACGTCCTTAGTTAACATTCAAATTATTTAAAAGTACATTTCACTTCCCCAGCCAGTCTATCGCATTCAAAGCATTTATCTTTATAAATTTTTTGTAGGTATTTTACTTTTAATATGAGATGATAATAATAGAAAAATATAATCAAACATAGAATCCACACATAAGAAAACCATTGAAGGAATGTTTAAAAAAATCTGCTACTGTTCTGAATACTGAACAAAGGTTTTTGATACTTAGATATATAATGATAAGGAAAAACAAAATGGCAAAAGCTTTATTATATATTAATAACTCAACCCAAGTTAGGAAATATTAATAATATTTAATAATTTAATAAAATTATATATTAAAATTTGCAGTACAGGACAATTTGACAAATTAAATTTTAAAAAACATCTACTTGAAACAAAAAAAAAATTAATCAAATTTCACAGAGGATTTTGATATATCACTGTTTAACATTTTAAGGTTCTCGAGAAATCTAATTTAAAAAACTGTCTTCTCATAATTAAAAATTGGTTTATGCAGCCGAGTTGCTCCAAAAAGATCAAATCCTTCCACAAAAATTGTGCGAAGCATCCGAAAATAGGAAGCCGGAAAACAGGTATTGATTTGAGCTTAAATTATGCGTTCCAATAGTTTCAATAGATCCAAATATTTTGGAAAAGTAATGTTCAAGCCACTAGCAATAAAATTATAGATAGCATTATTATATATGAATTTGAAGTGTAAAATAGTTCACAACTTACTTAGATAGGACAAATTGAATTGTGGTGAATAATAACACAAACATCGACAGATAGATTAAAACAGCCAATGTAAGCACCAAGCTCAACATAAAGATGCAAACCAGCTTAGTGACCAGACACAGTTCGGAAACCCATATGAACTCAATAGTCTTGATGAAGGGTCGCAGGCTAGCATACATGTTGTATATGCTCCGAAAATATTTTCCAATTGACGATGAGCAAAATTTTCTTCGTTTGAATACAAACACATATATTTTTTCTACTTCAATATTCGCATACTCACTTTAGTTTACAACATCAATTTCTTTTTTGGAACGGATTGGTAGATCCAAGTAAATTAACCATATAAAATAAATTAGATGAAATCAAACTACAATAAAATTTACTTTCTTTACAGATAAAAATTTGATTTTCTAAAATTTCTATGTTAATTAGATTGATTTCATCAGTGATTAAGAAAAACTGAATTTCCATGAAAGCATGACCAATATGTATCATTTTGAAAAAAAAAACTGTTTAAATCCACTAAAAACCTGTTTCTTTTGTTTAACGATTCCTAATAATCTCTGCTGTTCTCCATTCAAATCTTCACTTGCCCTTCAGTTCTCCTGAACCACAGAGGTATTATGCATTCAACCCATTTCTGTTGGTGAAATCGAAATCAGTTCAACCTTTAAGTCTAAAATACCGGGTGTTATCATAAATAATAACACAATCATTTATGTGGATCTTACTTTGTTAAGTGATAGGAGAAATCAATATTAACGTGTTGAAAGCTCTCACAGACTACTTTTATAGTAAAACCACAAAAATTCTTCTTTAGTAAATAGAAACCAATACTGTGACCTGTGCTGACTCAATATAGACCTTCCAGTTTAGGGATACGTAGCAGATCTTGTTTATTTATGCCAAAATAAAAGCTGTACTTTTAACTGATCATCAAAGTGTGTGGGATGCTTTTCATCTCTAAGCGATATGTAAAATGCTTGTTGTAAAAAACACAATCATCTGCTATTTACAACATTTTGTCTGTAGTATCCCAACCGTTCCCTCTGCTGATACATATTTTCGTGTCATGACTAGATCCACAACTGTAATTAGTATGTACGGATACACACTAAAAATCTGCCTTCTTATAACTGCATATGGCAGCAGCAACTATTATCTTCTTTTTTATCCTTACTATTTTATTCCATTTCATCCATTCCAATGTACAATGATATGTCACGCAACTGACTCATCATAAAATGATAGTCCTAAGGTGGTTTGCAAATGGTGAGTTTGTCACGAAGAAAATTTAGTAGCTGTGAATTGTCTAAGCATCTATGCGTACGTCTGTACAGCATCTATGTTGTTGTGGTTCTTCTAGGTCAAACTGATCTGAAAAGTAAACATGTAAAAGATTAACAAAACTAATACAATGGCATGGGATGAAGGAAATAAAACACATGATCTACTTCAATAATTAATTGTCTAATATTAAGAAGAATAATTCATTCATTTTATTTCAAATAAAATATAAAAGCGCTATAGTTTAATAAATATTCCGTGCTTCCTAATTTATAAGCCATAGTGTGTCTATTTAGTTTTTTTATCACCAAAAACTTACAACTAACCAACTATCATTTCATGAAGGCTGAAAAAGATAATTGCGTTTGTACGCAAAAGGATATGACTTAAGTCCAAGTTTTCCTTATCCCCTACAACTGTTGAGAGATGCGCTACTATCATCTACCGCCAAAGTCAAAGTTTCAGGCGCGCGGCACAGAGGCAAAATAAGAATGGTTTGGAAGGACTTAAAAGATTTCTATTCTGGCTGTAACAACACCAACTAAGTTCAAACTAAGTCAATATTAAATTATAAATGTTGTATGTGCCTTTCATTTGAAGTATCTCGATAAATATATATATATAGTTTTGAAAAATTTATACAAACCGAACAACTCAATATTCCCGGAATAATCTGTGATAAGACAAATAAAAAAAACTGGAATAAACTTTATTGATTGAAGTTTTATTTAAAGAGAATATATATATATATATATATATATATATATATATATAAGAAACTAATTCATTTAAATATATTATTTCATAATGAATTAAATTAAAAGTAATTATAAGTATAAGTTAAGAATCGATTGCTTTTGCGGCTTTTCCGATTTTCAGTTCTAAATATATAATAAAAGTATATTTAAAATATCTTTCTCATCTATAATTATAAAACTTATTTGCTATTTAACGGTAAGTACCAACACAGCATATTCTTTAAGAATCATTTCTAAATAAATTATAACTATATATGTTGAGCTTTTGAAAAGTTTCTTTGCAGTTCCAATTTTAAATATTTTTGTCAATAATATGTATGGCATTTCACCATTTAATTCATTTGTTTCGAATATATTTGAAATTAATTAATTAATTTCTTGTAATTGTTCAGTTTATTTTATAATTATAAAACTATTATTAACTTAAAACAAAAGTCATTTGCCAATTAATAAGCCAATTAATATATAAAATTCGAATTCAAAAGTAAACTAAAACCGCAAGTAATACTTTATTTAAAAATAATAATATTTTTTTAAATATTAATTTTTGATTTTTTAATTATAGTTTTAAACTATTTCTTTTCTTTTCTACTTTCTGTTTTTTTCGATTTTTTTTTGTGTACTAGTAATAAGTAAATACATATATTTTGTGTTTTATTTCAATTTGTATTTTATATAACATATATATTTTTACGTATACAATAAATAGTCTTTTTCTTGGAGCGTGTTGAAAATATTTCAATATATCAGAAATAAGTCATATTACATTTTATTCACATACATATTTTTTATAAATTCTTTTCTTTTCACATGCATTCACAAATCTATAAGAGTTTGCCCGTTTTTTTTAAAGATGCAATATATAAAAATTTTTAATTTTGTACACAAATAATAAATTAAAAATGTCTTGATTTTATTCTTATTACTTAAAATGTGCTTATCTCGTAATTCTTTCTTAACTTACCAACATCAACTATAAAAATCGAATATCTTTTCTTTGTATTTTACATTCTTCAGATTTTGCTTACCAACAAAATGGCTCTCTCTCTTATTACCTAAACTCTGCTCTGCTAAAACCATTAAGTTTGATTAATGCTATTAGCATAAATGCTTAAATAAAAAACAATTCTTCTTATACACTTTATGCCAACAAAAACCAATTTTTTTCTTGTGCCCTGCATCTTCTTGTCCATTTATTACATTTATTGCATTTAGAATGCAACAATTTAAAATATTTAAAATATTTAAAATATTTAAAAAATTTAAAAAATTTAAAAAGAAGAAAAAGTGAACAAGTTTTAAAAATTACGTGTATATAAAAATATATTATATTGTAAATAATTAACATATAATATTCGTATATATTGTATATGGTTTAAGCATATATGAAGAGACCTAAAGCAACAGCCACACAATTTATTATATTATTATCCTAATTTTTATTAAAATTAAATTTGTAAACTTCTTTTATTCTTTTACACATATTAACTATTTATATATGTAGTGCATCCATTAAATCAATAATTAAAATTAATTACATTCTTTTCTGGGTACATTTATGTACTAAGAAATAATGCCAAAATAATGCCTTAGAAATGTGTATGAATAGATGAATACAATTCACTAAATCCTAAAGCTTTATCCATCCCTGAAGAGTTGCTCCCAAACATTGGAAGTCTCCCAAACATGCAGTCCCGTGCGTGTGAATCGTACTTAAATCTTGATGTGTATGTAGACTTTGTTTTTTAGGGTTTGCGATGATTATGGGTTGTGGTATACATAGCGTTGCTGTGGATTTTGGTGGAGGTGTTGGTGGAGGTGTTGGTGGAGGTGGTGGTGGTGGTTGTGGTTGTGGAATTGATGGAAGAGGAACTCTGCTTGCGCGCTTTAAAGTTTTAATAATGACTTTTTAGGACATCAAATGTGTACCAGCTTGAAGTTTCTCAAGACGTGCACATAACTCCTGAGCCAAACGTAATTGTGTTTGAGTTGTTGCATGAACTGATAAGTTATTGGAGGATGATGTAATGCTATCGGCACTAACAGAGCTACTATTCAGCGTTTCAGTTGTAGCAGGAGCAGAAGAAATGCCAGCTGCTGAGAAGGGTGCCAAGGCAAATTTACTGTGCATTGTTATTTCCGGTGATTCAAGTAAATGTGGTAGTATTTCTGGATAAATAGTGCAAGTTCCTTGCCAACGTGCTTTACCAAGAGCATGACTCTATAAAATTGAAAACGTATGTGTTTTTTATTACTATTTACTTTTAAATTAAACTGTTGCTTACCATGGTGAAATCACGCTGCCACTTTATATTACAACGTCCTTCACAAACTGGACATGAACGTGTCAATGCATAACCGCCACATTCGGAACAGTCAAGAGAGACGTGCTCATCATTCCAGGAAACACCACAAGAAAAGCAAGTACCCATATGTTGACGTAGTTCTTCAATGGAAACCACATTATCGCCATTAACTTCATATGGATTATTAGGAACCATATCGGATATTGATGAGACACTCATATTGTGATGTCTACAAAATTAATAATGAAACAAATTATATTATTATTTGTATTTATATTTAAAATAATTTTCTACTAAAAACATTGGGATATTATAGGTATTTTTTGCTGCAAAATCTACAATTGGTTATGTTTTTTTTTCTATTATTTATATACAATAATTAAATAAATTACAAAAATATAAGTTATTATAAAATAAAAATACAACCCACAATTGAATATATGATTTTTTTCCTATTAATTTCTTTTAAATGACACATAATTTTCAAAATAACTAATGTTTAAATTTAATTTAATTTTTATAATTTAAAAATAAATAAAAATCATTTTAAAAAAAATAAAATATACTCAATCTTCAATTAAAATGATTTTTACTTATTAATTTTTTTTTTTTTACATAAAAAAATATTAAAGAGAAAACGTTAAATGTTAAATGGTAAAATGTTAAAAAAAATATTAAATTGTAAGTATTTAATATATTTTTAAAACAAAAACAGAAGTTAAATTCAATCAATAAAATTATAACATTTTATTTTAGGGCTATAATCAATTTCAATTATGGCTATAGCACGCCTATATGTTAATTATTTTCCAGTATAATGATCTAAATCGTTTCTGATTTAGTGCAGATTAAAATGATTTATAGCATAAAATTTAGCTAAATAAACGTAACTCACGCGCTCAACTAAGAAATCTTATCAATTTTTAAATATTAAACTCTGACGACGTTAGGCATATAAAATTCTATTAATGCTAAATGCAAGACAGATTAAAAAATTGTTTGGAATAAAAATCAAAATAGGAAAAAATATTAACCTCTAGTGGAAATAATGAATGAATTCACTTACAGTCGTTGCCCTGATTTTAAAGCCGACTGCGAGTATCTGCTTTGCAATCAGTTATTATTTATTACCAAAAAATCATATTATCAAAAAATATGATATTAAATTATGGAACCCCACCAAAGACACGTATATAGTTAATATAAAAATTTAATAAAAAAAAATTATTATTTAATTACGTTATATGTATCACATAACGTAATTAAAATAAAATTCTAAAAAAATATTCGTATTATTAATTTATTAATTATAAAAACACAACAAAAAAAAACAATTATATGAAATTAAAACAATAATTATTACTATAAATTATTTCATGCAAGTGTGGGTAAAGCTAAAAGTGTGTTCACAAAGTAATTACCCGGAATTAACACGCTTTTTTAATGATTTACATTTACATTGTTCTACTCGTAGTATGAGAATATTTATATATTCGCAGTTATTAATTATTGAATATATTATGCAATACAATAGTTTAAAACGCAGTTAAGGTAATTTTAAGCAATTTAAATAACCCTTTTGCCCCTCACGTATTCGGTCAAAACGATCAGTCAACGTTCGCTCAATATGCATTAAATAGTGTGTCGAGTGATAATAGCACATATTTTAAAAATGTTAAAAATGTTTTTGGAAAAAATTTATTAAAATATTTATTTGTAATTCTGTTTATAAATATTTTTATTAAAATTTCCCCTTATATTGCAAGGCATGAGTCAAATAACTAAGAACTTGAAACGCTTAAATGCGGGTATAGTATATATGCTCAACTGCTCAACTGCTCAACTGCTCAACTGCTAAACTGGTGAACTGTTTAACGTCAATCAATCAATAATTACTCAAAAAAAAAAATATTTGGCGGAAATATTATCATCAAAGTTAATACGAACATATACCTACTACATATACACATGTAAATAGATGTACTATCTAATTCTAGATATTCAGTAATGTGCCATTGTATACATATATGTGACTCTAGTGACAAATTTGTGTTTTAGATAGTAAATTAAAATGAGTTGAAATTCCTAGAATAAAAGATTTTAATTACAAAATTTATAAACAACAAAAACTAATGATATTATGAATAAAAATTCAATTTTTTTTATCAATGAATGAGTAAAAACTAGCAACTAGACGGCATTGTGGCAAATACACATCGATAGATTGTTTCCTCAAACTGATTCACACGTTCTTGAGCACAAAGTTCAAGTTAATTGATTATGACATTAAATAAAAATACTATTAAGTTATATATTATAAAAATACGAATAAGAATACTATACATATATGTAGATACAGTACTATTTGTCTTTATTAAGGAAATACCACATTATTATTTAGGTTATAGAAAAGAAAATCGTGTTTAAAACCATAGATGAGAGAGAAAGGTCAGGTCAGGCAGTTTAAATGGCGCTCAATATTGGTGGATAATAACACTCAGTTTTAGGTAAAGAATATTGGTATTGCGTACAATAAATATGGTATTGCGTGTAAATATTCCAAGGCTTAGTGCAGTTCTCTTTCATCACTGGTAGGCAACACCACCCACGATAAGAAACTTTGCATTTCTTGTCTAATATACATTGATACTCAGTTGAGGAAACTTAAAGGAAAAAAAAATAATTAGCTATTTTCTCTTCGAATGTGCAGCTCTGGCTTACAGAAGACATTGATTTTAACGGAAGTACTTGTTTGATAGTTTGTCATAGTATACATCGGTGAGGGCAAAAAATGTATTAAGTTATCTAACTTTAACGGAATGGATTTAGTTTCTATCTTTTTATATGTTAAGGTTTCTCACGAGAAATATGGTAAAAAACCGGTCAAAAATCGTTAATTGTAAAATCGCCCAATTTAAAGTTTTGTATACTTCTTTCTATACAGATTATAGCAACTTAAATATTAAAGCGGTTGTTAAGAAGAAACAAGTGCCTTCGAAAATTGACACTGGATGTTGGTAACTATAAAATCATTATCTCTATTCATTGTTATTTCATTTTATAGAATAGAGCTTTTACACAAGGTTCAGGAAATGACCCATGTATGAATAATGAAATAAAATCTTTGTTATTTGTTTTTGGTTAAATATAAAAAATGTTTTCACTATGTCATTTTAAATGACAATTATAATTGACTGGTGTGTCAAATCCGTTTTCATTACATGACAAGAATGCGAATATGACGTTATATGACTACCCATTTGCATTATACTGACAATATTTGACATTGCAAATGACGTAGCGATAACGAGGCAATATACCTATGTAATGAAATATGTACAACTTTATATACTGAAATCTAATTTTATAAAGAACAATATTATAAAAAAAAACCAAAAAATTAAATAAAATATAATATTGTTATCGTTGTTAAAACAATTATGTTAAATGTACTTTATTATTTAATCACATTAATTAATAAATACAAGTCCATTTCTAAAATTACACAGATTGGCGGCAGGCAGGCGGTAGCCATTCAAATTGCTACACGATTTGCTGAGGAGACCACGCCACTCATGCTAATGAAATTGCAAGTGGAGTTTAACATATGGAGACATATGCCTTACACTGTGGTGAATTTGCATGTGGTGCGGTTGTTTGAATGCATGGTAGCACTCAAATTCAAATTGGCGCCAGAACGCATGTAAAATGCATTGAAATGCAAAGGAAACAGCAAAAACTACTGCATTTGCGGACTTAATTCCTGCGTGTCACTCTCACACTCTCACCCTCTCACACTCTCACACCCTTACAAACACAGCCGTTGTTGGCTAAAATGACGTTTGATTTTAATGTAAAGGAAAAACCAACAAATGGCAACATAGAAACTTGATTTATTGACCATGACACAGTCATGTTGACATCTACACAAATCCAGTGACAGTGACAAAAGCAACAACAATAACGCCACTGTCATTGAGTACGCAGTTCGTGGTAAAGCGATTATTGAAAAATAAACACAATAAATCATTGATTGTAATAATCAAGCGGAAAGATTAGACTAAAAATAGGTTTTAATTTATAATAAATGAATATTGTATGCCAAAATACATAATTAGAAATTAATGTAACTATTTCAATCTATTTAATGCATATTTTTTTTTATTGAGTTCACTTGTTTAATAATATAATCGATAATTTGCTATTTGTTAGGCCCCGTGCCGCCTCAGCACCAGATTCTTGTCTCTATAAATGCCTCTGGCCACTATTACGATGTTACGAGGTTTTGTGGATTCAAAACCGTTTTTTTAGCTAGTGTATAAATGTGTTTATTAATTTTCTATGAAATATTTTATAAAGTTTAGATATACATATGTCTAATATTGTAAAATGTTGACAAAAACTGTAATCAACAACTTATCGATTGCCATATAAAAATTTTTATAATATATTATTTGTCGAAGATTTGTATGTTTAAATATATTTACTAGAGATATTTTTTTTTTAAATTATTTAAATCTTTTTCTATTTGTTTAATAGTAATATATTCAAATATATTACGATAAATACATTTTTTTTTAAATAAGGAGATTTTTTATTATAGTTACTAATAATATATTTATTGGGCAATACTCTACAGCTATATGGTCAGCCAATAATTCAATTAATTAAAATAATATAAAAATGTAATTTTTGTGGTTGTAGTTCACCACTTTTCGAAAAAGCTCTAATAATATATATACTATCGATTTTTAAAGAAATTAATAAGAATTTTGTCACGCAAGTATCAATATATTGGGTTATTTTTTAAATTTAAATTACAATGGTATAAACAGTTCGATGAAAATCAACGAAATCTAATAAAAAAAAAGAACAAATCTGCTAACGATCATGTTAAAAAAATCGACTTAACAAAGAAAACCCAATTAGAAATCCTATTAAGATCAACTTTAGAGATAATTTCAATAGTTCTCAAAAAGCTTAATCAAAAACAATTTAAAATTATTTTATTTAATTAATTTAATACCATAAATTTCACCAAATTTTTTTTTTAAGTTATTATATCTAAATAATAACAAAAAAAAATTCTTTTAAATTTCAACTCACCCAATAGGAATATCAAATTGAGGACCTTGTAAACTGGCGAGAGACATATTTGAATTAGATTTAGCTGTAAGAAGAGAAGAAAAAACAAATATTTATAACTACATAATATACATAATGAACTATTAAAAGTATAACTAATTTTTAATTATAATAAATATATACATATATGCGTATTTATGTATATGTTTATTTATTTTCGAATTTAGACATCTCCAACGTAGTGGACTAAAGTGCTTATGATAATGAATATAGTTAAAATTTAGAATAAAATAAATGAAGTTCACAAACCGCACAAAGTATTAAAAATAATAATTTAAGGATAAGATTTGGTATTACAAGAGATGTTACGAGATAAAATAAAATTAATAATAAAGATAGTTTAATTTACTTTTAGTAGACAAAACTGAATGGAAAATAATATACAAGGTGAGATGAAAAAACTGCAACAAAGTAAAACGCCATAATTTTTTCATTTTTTTTAAATTTTATTGAATGAAAGCAAAAAATGTCGGAAATAACATCAAATTTGAGAATCGGTTTAGATTTGTTCGAATTGGCCACCTTTGGCACAACTATGGCCTTCAAACGGCCAATGAACCATCACACGCTGCCCGAAAGTGGCTCTGCGGTATTTTGTCCCATTCTCGGCGAAGCGCTTGCTTGAGATGATCGACACTTTGGTATTTTTTAGTTCCAACCTTGCTTTCCAAAATACCCCAGGCACAATAGTCCAACGGATTGGCATCCGGAGATTTTGGTGGCCATTGTGCGGTGGAAATGAAGCGAGGAACCTCATTTCTTAACCATTCTTGGATGGCGCGTGCTGAGTGCGATGGTGCTGAGTCCTGTTGGAATGTCCAAGGTCTGCGGCCGAAATGTTTGCGTGCCCAGGGCTTCAGAACTCCCTCCAAAATATTTTCGCGATAGATTTGCGCATTTAATTTGACACCACGGTCGATGAATACGAGCGGCGAGCGACCATCGGCTGTTATGGCGGCCCACACCATCACCATGGCCGGCTTTTGAGTTGTGATGGCCAACCGAAGTTGCAAATTTTCAGCTGACCTCTCTGGCAAGTAAACACGATCATTTTGTTTGTTTACAAACTGCTGGATAACGAATGGTTTCTCATCGGAGAAAACCAAATTCGGCAGTTCACCACTTTCGGCCAAGCGAAACAACTCTTTAGCTTTTTCGAGTCTAACTTTTTTTTGCGCATCAGTAAGATCTTGCACTTTTTGGAACTTGAATGGCTTTAGTCCAAGCTCATTTTTCAATATTTGCCGAATGGCATATTGCGATATGTTCAGCTCACGAGCCATTTTTCGTCCACTGCGACGCGGATTTCGTTCAATTCGCTTTTTCACTTTTCGAACCATTTCTGCCGATGTTGCTGTTTTTTTTCGTCCACTTCCTTGACGTCGGGCTACGCTACCAGTATCATGGTAACGAGCGATGGTACGAGACACAAAACATTTATTCACTTCTAAATGCTGGAGGGCTCTAACGATAGCCACTTGTGGTTTTCCAGCCAAATGCAAAGCAATCACACTATCACGCTTGAATTCCATCACAAATAACTTTTTTTTTGAAAAATTCCCACCAAAATGCTTTTGTGCGCTTGTAAACAATATAATGAGCTGTCACTAGAATAAATCTGACAGCTGTGGGACGAGCGGTTTAGAAATGACAGCAGTCTGAAGTTGGTTGCAGTTTTTTCATCTCACCTTGTATATATCGTTTAATGAGTTTATTTACATTCAAATTCACGCATTCACACGTACAACACACGTACAAACATCACAACAATAAAAACAATACTAAGAATAGTAGTAGCAGAAGGAAAATATAACTTTTGTTATACAGCATTAAAAACAATAAACATTAAAAACAATAAAAACAAAACATTTCTAATATCAATAGATTTAATATACATCATATCACAATCGTTTTTGCATATTTTTTTTTTTGTTATATGATTATATATACATATATATTTATATATATATTACATATAATATTTATATATATATTATATATTATATTTATATATATATTATATATTATATTTACTCAGTATAATATTTATACATATTTAATATATAACGTTTATGTAGACATTTAACATTTATAACCTTTATTTATTAGTATATAATTTCCTTTCTACAATATATACGAGTACATACGACGCACCACAGTGTATATAGTACACAGGGAAATAAAAAATTAAAAATTTAGAGCACTTATTAACCTCAGAAAAGTTTATTGGCCCCCGTACGCTTTGATTGTAGAGATTGTGGTTTGATAATTTGTTGTTGTTGTTGTTATTGTTTTCTCAAAATATCTTGTAATTTACATATAATAAATTGAGTGAGTCAAAATTGTGATTTGCGTGTTAAGTGGTTGTATCTTTATTTTATTATTCACCGATTAAAAATGGGGTGTATCACATGGTTTTATAATAATTAAATATAAATTAAGTTGTGCAAAAAACAAAAAAAAACACACCTAATTTTGAGATCAAATGATCAAAAAACAAAAAAAATAACAATAGTAATTAACAAAAAAATAAACACTATTTTTTCAATGAATCTTATCACCTTTACGTAATTAGAGTTCAAGATAGTATACCTATAGTAATTTCTAGTATATAAAAGTATCATATTAAATAGGTATAATATATTAATACAATAATCAAAATTTTTTGAAACGATAAAATCACATTTTTAATAATATGTAATTAACCGAGATATTAAAAGTAACAATTAATCAGATTTTAAAGGAAAAGGAGTATGGAAAATACATATTTTTGAGTAAGTTGAACACTTTGTCTTATTATATAAAGACTAGTTTACATTTTCTTTTTCGTATAAACTAGAATTTATTGTATTTCATTTTATATACACATAAATGTACCTACATATATATATACATATATATATATATATATATATATATATATATATATTGAAAATGAAAACAGTAATGTTAACCTACTTATAGACTTATAAGTTAAAAATATACAAAAAAAATATTAAAAATGAAAAAAATCAATTTAGATTAATAGACTTAATTGAACTCTTATAAATAATTTACTCAAACTAATAAATAACTGTATAAATTAATTTTATGAACGGAAAACACATTTGTATTGTGACTCAACCGATACCCAAAAAATTCTATTGCCAACATTTTTGCTACCAAAATCACAAAGTTGAGTCATAAGCCACAAATTTTCAATGCCGGCTTTAACTTGTTTAATTTGAAATTTTTTTATTTACTATAATAATTAATTTATTTAATTTTTTTTCTTTTGTTTTGAAATAAACTTTACAAATATAATGTAACAATAAAGTTTATAATCCTCCGTCCATCTAAATATATATATGTGTATATATTTATACAATAGAATATATATATATATATATATGTATATATTTCGATGGACGGGGGACTATACTCCTGTTCTTAATAGCTAATTTTCTAAAGAAAGAAATGTATATGACATGCTCTCTATAGCAAACTCACATGGGTCTTTCACGTCAATCAGCAGAGTTTTTTTTTTGCTTATTTGCTCTTTGAACTACGTCAATTAAAAAGCAAATAAACAAATTCATTGTCAATAAAGAAAAGTTTAAATATAAACCTAGAGTAGAGCAAGTATAACTTAATGTATCTATACACCATACTTTACATCTTAAGTCCAACATTTGTTTACTGAAATTTGTTTTGGCTTTTTGAGCAAATAGAAGGTGTACTATACCGATATAAACAAATAAAATGAAGCTAATTACATTATGTCAAATCCAATTAAATTATAATTTAATGATTATAGTATATGGACGGACAGACAAGTACTTTATTTAGTATAAAATAAACCATAGTATTGCACGTAAAGTGTATTGTTTAAATTGTATAGAGTCTATAGTAACTTAGACCACAGGTATTAATACCTGTGATATTAAGATCACAGGTTGCTTAAGATTTTTCTGCCAGCTCTATACGATATCAGCACTGTTTTCACGGTACGCCTATTAAGGGTTCTGGGGCGCAATTACATTACGTTAAGTAATGTTTTCATAATGGACCTTAGAATCTAAGTGTGTTAGTTAATTCGACTCAATGTAGTTCAGGTAGGTAGCTTAACTTAACCTCGTATACCACTCATATGTACCAGAATGGTTAGGATTTGATATCAGCAGTGGGAGGAATGCAAAATATGAATCTATTTTTGTGTATAATTGAATCAAGAATCTGGCACGAACAGATGTGGGTGGGCACAGACTACAAAATGTTGACAAATTTATTAGTTTTCCGTTCAATGGCGTACTGAAATTATTAACTATGAATGTTACCAGTCATAGTATGTGTATCTGAGTGTACCAACCTGCGAAAGAGAATAAATTTATTTTGGTTTTACTGCACTTAGTTGCGGTGGGTTTAATGGAAAAGTCGATATAATTTAATACTTCAATGTTTTAAATAGCAGAACTCCATGGCGATTTAACTTCCAATAAACAACCCTGCAGAAAATTTAAGTAATGAGTTTTGACAAGAAATATTATTTTTAATATATGCAACTATTTGTTGTAATAATAATAAAAGAGTAATAATCAAAGAAGGTAATATGTATAAATATTACAACTATTTATTTGAAGACAAAGTTAACATTTATTGCGGCTAAATATTAAACAAATAAATATGATAATTGATTTTATTATTGAAAAAATATAATCACAACTCCGAATACAATTTATAGTTTGAAACCATAAAGTACAGGTTAATTACGAGAATATATGGAATATAGAAACTGGCAGATGGGGCTTCTACTTCTTCTTCGTTGAATTTTAACAACTTTTAAATAACTGTATATATTAAAAAATAGTGTGCTGATAATCAATATTTTAAATATTGTAATTTAGAAAATAATAATATTATGATTAATAAAATTAGAAAACTCAATTGCATAGTAAATATTATATAATTAAAACGTTGTATAAAATGTAAATTTTACTGCAGTTGGATGAACTATAAGATATGTTTTAAGGTCGCAGTATTCTAAAC